CAGCCCTCCTGTGTACAATACTATAAAATCCCTCCTGGCCAGAGACACCAAAATCGTTTTACCTGTAAAGGGTTAAGAAGCTCAGGTAACCTGGCTGACACCTGACCTAAAGGACCAATAAGGGGATAAGATACTTTCAAATCTTGGTGGGGGGAAGGCTTTTATTTGTGCTCTTTGTTTTGGGGGTTGTTCGCTCTTGGGACTAAGAGGGAGCATCAATCCATGCTCTCCAAATCTTTCTGAACAAGTCTCTCATATTTCAAACTTGTAAGTAACAGCCAGGCAAGGCGTGTTAGGTTTATCTTTGTTTTCTCAACGTGTAAATGTTCCTTTTGCTAAAGAGTTTACCTCTGTTTGCTGTAACTTTGAACCTAAGGCTAGACGGGGTTCCTCTGGGCTCTTTAAATCTGATTACCCTGTAAAGTTATTTTCCATCCTGATTTTACAGAGATTATTTTTACCTTTCTTTCTTTAATTAAAAGCCTTCTTTTTAGGAACCTGATTGATTTTTCCTTGATTTAAGATCCAAGGGGGTTGGATCTGGACTCACCAGGAAATTGGTGGAGAAGTCTCTCAAGGCTACCCAGGGAAGGGTTATAGTACTTGGGAGGGAGATATTTGGGAGGAGGGGGGGAGGTAGACAGAGTTTCCCAAATAACTCATAAATAATTTGGGTGATGGCAGCAAAAGCAGATCTGAGCTGGTAGTTAAGCTTAGAGGTTTTCATGCAGGTCCCCACATCTGTCCCTAGAGTTCAGAATGGGTAAGGAACCTTGACAATGTTTCAAGTATGATTTCATGGGGCACAATCAAGTGTTTTCTTTCTTGAAGTCTCTCTCGAACTGCCATGTTCCTTTCATTCACTAATTCTACTGTTCTGTTAGAAAGAGCAATCAAATGTGCTTGACGTGATTTATTCTGTACAGCCACTTATTGCTCATGGTCCTCTTACTCTATAAACAGTGATCTCAGAGTACCTGTCCCATTATTCTAGCAGGGATAGAAGTTAGACATACAGGACAGTAATTGCCAGGATCATTCTCTTGCATTTTTTAAAGACTGGTACCACATTTATTTTTCTCCAGTCCTCTCATATCTTTCCAGTTCTCCAAGACTTTATAGAAATAGTTCAGCAATCAAATGGATTTGTCAGTTTATTCCCCTAATGCCCTGGGGTCAGGGCCATCCAGACTGACTAATCTTTATATGGTCACATTTTCCAAGTATTCCCTCATCTGGTTTTATCAACAGATCTTCACTGTTCCCTATGCAGCAAATCCAGCCTGAATAGCTGGGCTGTGGAGATGTGTAGGGAAGGTGTGAAGGAGTATTTCCTTAGGCTGCAGAGCAGCTGTGGAGCCATTCTGCAGAGACCTTTCAGTTCAGTTGCTGCAGTAGCCTACGCAGGGCATTTACACAGCCTCACCCCCACAGGGAGGAAGGAGATGAGAAGATCCACACAGCGGCAGATCCGCTGGTCCCACCTCCGGCTCATCCACATCTCTCCCCCACCCCCCACTCCTCTGCTGTGCAGAGGACTTCACTCGCCTACTGCAGGTCCTCTGCCCCTACACCTGTTCATACTGTGCAAAATCATATTGGTTCCATGGCCCAGGGGCTCTCGGAGGAGGGAGATGGATTTGGCCCCAAGTGTCCCATACCTCTTTGCTTTATTAATTTAAGACAATTTTTTTTGAGCAGCTCAGAACCTTAAACAGCTGAGTCAGCGCATTGATGTCATCTCCTCCTCATTTTCTAATGTCTCTATCCTTCCCTTCCCCCAACCGTTTCTTTAAAAGCCATTCTTATTAGCAGCCTCAATCTGCCTTGTCTTTTCCCTGCAGCACGGACTGACCCTGCATATTGTTCAGTTACCTCCTCCCTTCTCTGTTTCTAATACAGATCAGTCTGTGATGTCTGTCTGTCTTCCTTCCATTCTAATCTCTAAAGTCTCTCCGCTTTGACCAAAGCGTTTTCAGAAGTAACTAAGGAGTCTTGCCCCTCCAGGATATCATGTCCCTCCCTGCCACCCCAAGCAAAAGCTCGAGAAGAGAGATGGGTCTTACACCCTGCCCAGATGGTCAGCAGACCTCAGTGGGGAAGCAAATTGCAGTCTGTCTCCTCCAAGGAAAATGGCATGACCTGGCCCCTCCCCACAACATTCAAATCCAGGGATTGTTAGCAAGTCCCTCAGCTGACCTCAAATGCAGCAGCAGCAGCAGCAGGGGGAATAGAGGTAGCCAGCCTGCCTGTTAAGTAGCTGATCAACCAAGGGGATTAACACAGTGTCTGTGCCATCAGGCCCCACTGATAAGGAGGAAAGGAATCTGAGGGCACTGGGCGACCTATTGTTTCCTCCCTCTCACCTCACCCCTAATAGGAAGATTTGAGACAAGTCTGTGATTCACCCTGAGGACTTGGAGCCATCCTGGCCACTGCTTGTTCCTGGCTTTCTTCCCCTAGGTGGATTTTATGCCGCCTGCCCCCAAGCTGGGCCCTTTTCCCCCTGACCTTGATCCTGATGATGTTGGGGCCACTCATGCTGCCGCTCTGGTCGATGAGGAAGAGGATTTCCCGGGTGACTGTCTGGAGGTCAGTAGGCACACTGCCCACCTCAGGACAGAAGTTCAGCATCAGGACCGGGTTGTGGAAGATGTCTTTGTGGAATCGCTTTTGAACGAAGGCCACCTGTGAGCATGAGAGAGAGACAGGAGTGGGGTGGGATCCTCAAGCCTCACATCCCCTTTCCACAGGCACTTCCCCTTAAGCCTCACACATCCTTGCCCAGGATAGCTGTTTCCCTCAGGTCTCAGACTTCTCCCAGACCTTCTCCCGTCCCGGTCCTCTAACTGGCCGTGACACCTCCCCCTCCAGGACCACCCTGTTAAAGACCCTCCAGGGTTGGTCACCTGTCTCTCCCCATCACTGTCCTTCTTGGCGATTCGCACGTAATCCCGACGACTCCTGATGTGCGCCTCATACTCCTGGTACGTCATGGCACCCGCCTCAATGACCAGGTGAGGGCAATGGGGCTCTGGGCAAAAGGACAAACATCAGAGAAGTCAATGGCTCCCACCCTATGGCCCTGCACTTCCTGGAGCTCCGCAGAATTTAGAATCATGAGGACCCGGCAGTTAGGAAGTGAGGGTCTGGGAAGGGAGCTGGGCTATGAAAGGCCCTCTCCCTTATGAAGTGGGCTGCAGAACAGAATGGGCCCTGACACAGGCAGCTCTTCTAGGACTGTAAATCAATCCAGATGGAAAATGCCTCTGAAATACTAAATATGTCTCCATGTAAGAGAATTGGGGTTTACTCTACCGGCAGCACCCCCCGCTAGGAGAGGCAGAGAATTAAGCAACAGAGAGCTTCCCCATGCTTAGCATGCCTGCTCCCTTCTCCACAGCACCACCAGCTGGAAGAGTCTTGAACTGTAATAACCAGGAGCTTCCCACAACCAGCACCCCTGTTAGGAGAGGCCTTGAGCTCCCAGAGCCAGTGCCGCCTGAATTTACCCTAGCTGTGGACTCCAAGTTAAAAGCAGGCTCCCAGTGTAATGTTGGTTCACTTGTTCCTCTTACCACAGGGGTACAAGATAATCTCCAGACTCCTGTCACATTGGTGACCCTCTGCCAAGGTAACACAAATGGTGGAGGCAGAGTTGGCATAGGGGTCTGCATCAGCCCGTAGGGCATGCGATGGGCTCTCCAAGCCTGCAGGGCAGAGGAGGAATAAGAAGCAGAAATTACAATTACTAAGGGGGTACAGGAGGTAGGGTAAGGCCCATGATTTGTTGTTTTTAAAGGTACTCAGGCATTGCTGCACTCAGTGTTGTAACGCCTAACCAATTTAGGAGCCTAAATCTCATTTTCAAAAGGCATTTAGGAGACAAAATCCCATTGATTGTTGATGGGACTTAGGCACCTAAATCAGGTAGATGTTGCAACACTGATACACAGAAACACCTAAATACCTTTAAAAATCTGGGCCTAAATCATCTAGTCTCAGCTCTGGTTCATCATTGTAGCTTTTATATCCAGACATCATCCCAGGGCACTTAGGGTATGTCAACCCTTGTCATAAACATACAGCTAAGGGTAGCATAAAATCCCTCCTTTCCCTGTAAGGGGTTAAGAAGCTCAGATAACTTGGTTGGCACCTGACCAAAAGGACCAATAAGAAAAGAAGAGACTTTAAAATCTGGGGGGTGGGAGGGATGTTGGTGCTCTCTTTGTTGTGCTCTCTTGGGACAGAGAGAGGGACCAGGCAGGAAAAAACCATCTCCTAAAACCCTACCTGAAATAAGCATCTAAAATTACAAAAATTGTAAGTAAAGCAAGGAAATGCGTTAGATTATCGTTTGTTTTAGCTTGTGAATTTTCCCTATGCTAAGAGGGAGTTTTATTCCTGTTTTTGGAATTTTGAAGTTGAGCCTAGAGGGGAATCCTCTGTGTTTTAAATCTTTTTATTACCCTGTAAAATTACCTTCCATCCTGATTTTACAGAGGTGCTTCTTTTTATCTTTTTCTTTACAATAAAGTTATTTTTTTAAGAACCTGATTGATTTTAGTGTCCTAAAGATAAAGGGTCTGGTCTGTACTTTTATTAAAGGCAATTGGTTAGTGTGTTATTCTCAAGCCTCCCCAGGAAAGGGGGCGAAGGGGTTTGGGGAAACAGAGACTCCAAGTAGCCCTTTTCCCTGGATGTTTGTCTAAATCACTTGGTGGTGGCAGCAATACTGTCCAAGGACAAAGAAAGGATTTGTGCCTTGGGGAAGTTTTAACCTAAGCTGGTAGAAATAAGCTTGGGTGTCTTTCATGTGGGTCCCCACAGCTGTACCCCAGAGTTCAAAGTGGGGAGGGAACCTTGACAACCCTGCAGCGGCGAGTCTCAGAACCTGGGTATACAGACTCGGGCTTGAGCTACGGTGCTAAAAATAGCAGCTTAGCATAGATGTTGCCACTTGGGCTGGAGCTCAGGCTCTAAGACGCATCTCCCTCGCTAGGTTTCAGCGCCCAAGTTCCAGCCAAGTGGGAACGTCTACACTGCTGTTTTTAGCACCATACTAGTGAGCCTGAGTCTGCAGGCTGCAACTCAGAATCGCTGCTGCAGATTTTTTTTTGCAGGCAGACATAATCTAAGTCCCTGCTGCATCAGCTGGGTGCCTTTTTTAAATGCTTGTGGCCTGTTATGACAATTCTTTCTCTCCCCTAGACCCTGCTGTTCCTCCCCCGCAGAAGACGTACAGAGATATTTGGAGTGACTGCAAATAGATAATAATTACATCCAAAAAGCTATGCTAAAAGAACACTAAGGTTGCGAAGTCAAGCACTGAAAAGTTAGGAAGTGTCAGAACTCAGGTTGCCTTTGCAGTCTGAATTCAGCCCCCTTGTGCACATGCATTATGATACAATCTTTAATTGCATGATCACATATTATTTTTTCCACAGGACCCCTGCCTCATTGAGTAAATGAGAAATTAGTCAATATTTTTTATCCCACCATTCAATGCATTGCCCCAGATCTTATTTACTCCATACCATGGAAACCCTGCCCTGAATTCAAAACTGTTCATTCTCTCCTGAGTGTTTTTATGATGCTCTCACCTTTGTACCTGAGGGCTTCACAATCTTCCTTTAATTTATCTTCACAGCACTCCTGTGGGAATAGGTGCTATTATCACGCCCATTTTACAGATGGAGAATTGAAGCATGGAACGATTAAGGCTAAAATTGTCAAGTGTCCACTAATTTGGGGGGGCCCAATGTGAGAC